TTGTTTTTTGTTTCCAGTCGTTGTACTGATTTTACTAAGAGCTTTTTCTTGTTTACTGTTCAGTTTGTGAAGGCCATGTTGGGTGTTTCTGACCCTGGTTGTCCTGCCTCCAAAATTCTGCCCACAGAATGACCCAATGGAGTGCTCTGTTAGAAATTCATGTTCCAAGAAGTCCATTTTTGTTTACTTGAAGCTGCCGCAGCTGTTCCAGGAGATTGCATCTGATTTTTTTTCCCATAAGCCTTTTTAACTTTTGAAATGTCAGGTTTTGGAGCCTGTATGTTTTGACACTTTACTTTTAAAGTTGTCATCAGTTGTGTATCTGGAAAGCAGAGTGCTCCCTGAATCTGGCAGTTCGATAATTAATAGTGTCATGTCCCTTTTTTCTAGGTTTGATAAAAAGTAGTTCAGAAGAAAATATTTCAAGCTGTGGTAGGACATGTCAAGGTTGGATTTATCACAAAACCAGATTGGATTTTATAGTAAGCTTTTATCAGATGAACTGAAATGTTCAAATTATTTTGAATTCTAATATTTACATTCAGTGGATACAAGTAGATTTCCCAGGTATCTTAATTCAAGTGTATTTCATGGTTCCTTAGAAATCAAGGCTGAAATGCTCCCCAGGCTATTAAAGATCAGAGTATGGACTGTAATTTGGAAACACTAATTTTGCTGGGGGAAGAACACAAGTTGACCCTTGCTCTTGGTCCACACGCTGCTGTTCCACCCCCAACCCGCCCCCCAGAAAGAGCTGGCGCAGCACAAAGAGTCCAGCCAGCACTGCCCTGAGTCTCCCTCTGATCCCCCACAAGGAAAGGCACAGATCCCCTGACATCTCTGTCCCTGCACTGGTGACAAGCCAAGCAACCCTCAGACCTTGCTTGCAAATTCTGTGAGGCTGCTGGGTTGTGTATAACACAGGGCAGCCTTGGATGGAGGCTCCACACCTGTAAATGCACTTGGCACAAGCCAAAAGGGTTTTAGTAGAACATTGGAATAAATATATGCAAAACTGGAGTTCAATAGTCTGGGTAATCTCTTAGAAAAGCACAGGAAATAAATGGGTTGAAACAAAGCCTTTCCATGGTAAATGCAGTGTGAAGTGGTGTTAGAGAAAAGTGTCTCTCTCTTTACAAGTGGTAAATGTATCTCCAAAGGTTATTTTAATACAGATGTTTTCCTGAAAGTAAATAGTGTAGGATGAACTTGCAGTGTTGAGGCAAAGTTGCTCCTAAATGAATATGCAAATCATATGAACACAGGTTTCAGACAAACCAGACACTGAAGGTGGACAGTGCTGCTTACCAAGGTTCTTTGATCTCCAGGTTGTGTTCCACCTCTAGTCTTAAAGACACAAGCTGCTTTTCTTGCAGTTTTAAGAAGCTAAAATAATTAATTGCATGTTGATAGTGCTGAGTAGAGATACAGAACAGCAGCAAATGCACAAATACATGGAAAGTGGATGGAGACTTGGAGAAATAAGAGTGATAAACAAAATAACAGCTGCTATCACATGTTCCACTCTGACAGACCTTCAACAAGCTGCTTTGCCATGAATAGTTGCATGGTTTAAACCCCATGATTACAATAATGACATGCGGTAACTGAGCATTCATTCTGCTGCTGCTGTTCCATTGAAATAAAGATTCTGGATAGAAAACTGCTCTCAATAGCTTAAAATGCCAAAGTCTTTTTAATGATATTTGCAAATCTTTCAGCATACTAAGTAAATGGAAACCACATTATGAAAACCAGGTTTATTCAGACAAAAAGAGCAAGGTTTTCTGTACTGTGTTGTTCAAGTAAGGAGGATGTTTTTTTTTACTATGGACTACTGCTTATGGCAGCAGATCAGAATATAAAGACTATCTTCAGAGAAATTACTATTTCTACTGTTCTTCAAAATGAACATAAAACTTTAAGATTTGGTGCAAAGATCAATCCAGTCCACTGCAAAAATACCAGTTACATGACTTCATACCTTAATGTTTAACAACTCGTTATTTCATGATAAAGAGGAAAAAAAAAAGCCCAATCTCCCACCCAAAACCAAACTCAGAGGGAATTTGTAAATTAATCTATTGAATTCTCTTCATAAGAACTAATTGAAAAAATGCTCTATGAAAATAATGTAAGCTTTTGGTGAAACTATATGAATTGGTAGAAACCAAACTGTTCTGAATGCCATGTGGATTTTTAAAAAGTTTCCCACAAAAAAGGCCTAATATGTGAGAATAAAATGTTGGAAGCCTTTTTTTAGGGAACCGTAGGTGCTACTGCTATTAGATAGCTTAAATTATTGATATTTTAAGAAAAGCTTCATTTTAAAATCTGAGGCTGTGGCCTTTTTTCCTCAGGCAAGCCTTAATGTGCCTAGCTGAGCCAACCTAAGCCTGGGTTTCCTGAAACCAAGAGGCACCAATGCTTAACAACATTGTGAATTTAAAAATGCTTTGTAATTGGGAAACACTCAATATTTAGCTGTACTTGGAGAACACAGCCAACATTTGTGCCACTTAAATGTTGGTCTTGCCCAAATTCAGAGTAATGGGATCTCAAAGGACTTGTTAGGCACGGCTTTGATTGCCTATGAAAGGACTCAGAGGGGACTCAGATTACAGCTGCCCTGAAATCTACTGGTGAGAAGCACAGTGACATTATTAAGTACTATAAATTATTGTTATTATCAAAATTACCAAAATCAGAATAATAAAATAGGATTTAAACTTGTCTGTATAATCAGTGTATTTTTTTATACAGTACTTTCTTCTTGCCAGTTGAATATTGTCCCATTACAACTTCAATTCCCACATGGTAACATTGCAAATATTATAATCTAGCTCTTCCTATTATTTGTAATTTTGCTCTCATGCATCCTAATCTTGTATTTTAGATATAGCTTAAGAATTCTCTGGATAGTACTTTGGCCGTGGAAAGAATAATACCCCTGCTGACTGTAGCTGACTAATTAGGAAGTTGTTACTTAACCAGGATGTGTTTTATAACCTTTTTGACACAACCTTGCAGAGCACTTTAGGAATTTAATTTCTCAATTTGCTGTGTTTTGTCAGCAGGTTGGGGCTGACAGAGCCCAAGGCTGTCAGCTCTCCTGGGGGACACTGCAGGAGAGTAGGATGCTTCCAAATTGCATGGAGTGCTGAGTAGAAATACAGCTCAGGAGTGCTTCTCTCTGCCACTCTGAGGTGGATCAGATGTGTGAATTGATCCTACTTTGGAATTTTTGTTTCCTTGTAAGGTTATAGTCGCAGGCAGTTGATGTGCCAGGCAGTGGAAACATCTCAGGCCCTTCAGCTCAGCTGGAGTCTCTGGTGACAACAGCCAAGAAAAGAAACCATCAGGCACTTGCAAAGTCACCTGCAGCTTTTCATAAGACAGACACATTGCAAAATTTTCTTATTTTCTATTTTAAATTGGTGTAAAAGACATTTTAAATAAGGCTTGGTCTTGCAAAGTGTCTCGACTCTGTTAAGAGAGAAAGTACCTGTACCCTTAAACCTGTTCCCTTATTTGCTATTTTTATCTCAGTGCTGGATTAAACCTCTGAAATTATGTAAAAGAAATAGTTTTGGACTTTCACAACTCAAAAGTAATGTGTTAAAAATTAGAATAACATGAAAAGTACATGTATGGTAAATCAGTTTTCTAGCTAGGAATAACCTTGTTTGCATTCAGTAAGGAAAACATTTTTGTTTTCATGGAGTAGTTGAACAACTGACTATTTACTCTATGAAGAAAAGCAGGGTATTGTCATAGATGTCTGTGAGCTGTCTTGTATATTCATTATTTTATGTACTAGATACTGTTACTATACTCAGCAGAGCCCCCTGCTGTTGTAAATCCTCCTCAAATACCTTTCTATGTTTTGCTATGTCTGGACCTTATCAATTAAGGGAAAAAAAAAATTAAAATCCAAATGCAAGCTCAAGGTCCTGGTTGCATGGATTTGTTCTGGATTCAGGAATGAAATATGGATGTTGTGCCTACATAGAACATATTTGCTTTCTGGCAGCAGTCACAGTTTATATGGAAAATAAACCTGTCTTGTCTTTGTGTATCTCTGGAGAAACACCTGCGCCAATGGACTGGTATAGGCTGGAAAAAAATCTGCAGGGAGAACAGGGAAACAAGTCCACCCTCTGAGTCATAAATACTGAGGAGGAGAGGAAAAGGGCAAATGAGGCAGTCTGGTACCTGTGTACACAGCCAGAAACCACCACACACCTCAGCGCTCACAGGGACAGAACAGGACCTTCTCATGCCCTGGGTGGGAGCCAGGCTCAGGGCAGACACTTGTGGAAGAGGAGGGAAAAAAATCAACAGGTTGTCCTGGCACAACATTGCAAGCGATGTTTGATACTTTATTCATCATACTGTGTTGGTAGTAAGGATGGAGAGGGCTGGCATGACAACGTGGAGGATCCTCGCTAGGACATGCATGAATAATGAATTATGTGTCAGAAATTCCTGAATAGCTGTTCCTGTTGCTCTGGTCCTGGTGGGGTCTGGCAGTGAAACACTGCTGTCTGAGGACACTGTACTCCAAAACATCCAATTTGTGAGCAGAACCCACTAAAAGGCACGACCAGACACCCCGCTCTGGGACCACCCGGCTGCCAGCAGTGCAGCAGGCGATGAACATCCCCCTCTGCTGAAGGCTTGGCTCTTTCTGAATCGAGATGGAGAGCGAAGAGGTGGTGTTCGGTGCTTTCTGACGGCAGGGATATTTCTGTCAGGCTCCCTCATTCCTGCTTACCTCACCACTCCCGCTCCCCCCGCCGTTCCCGCTCCCCTCCCCATTCCCACCCCTCGGGCCGTTCCCAGCGCGGCCGCCAGGGGGCTCCGAGCGCTGCCCGCGCGCAGCCAATCCGGTGGCGCGGGCGGGGCCGGCCGCGCGCGCGCGGGGGGTGGGCGGGGCTTGCCTTATGTCGGGGGCGCGCGGGGCTCCTCCCGCTGTCCCCTCTGGCCGCCCCCTCACGCTCCTCACTCCGACTCCACCTCCTTCCTCCCGCTCCTCCCGCCACCTCCTCTGGCCGCTCCCTCCTGCTCCTCTCGCCGGCTCCTCACTCCACCTCCTTCCTCCCGCTCCTCCCGCCGGCTCCTCCCGGGGCGGGCGCTCCGGCCGTGGCCGTGTCAGCCCAGCCACGGCAGCAGCGAGCATGTCCTCCAGTAGGGCCAAGAAAGTGAAGATGGCCACCAAGTCCTGCCCCGAGTGCGACCAGCAGGTGAGCGGCTGCCGGCGGAGCCGGGCTGCGGAGGGCGGAGCGGGCAGACCGGCTCCGTGCGGCTCCAGTCGGTGTTTGTGTGAACTCAATGGTTGTTGCCATTGCAGCTTCTGCACGGAATGTGGGTTGAACGCCGCGTCCCTCCGGCAGGGTAGCGGAGTAGTTGTATTGTGCTGAGGGGTTTCTGCGCGACTGCAGAACCTCACGGTTGTGTGCTGGTGTTGTTTAGTAACTGTGTGATCTGTTCAAAATACAACGAGCCGGGTGATTTATATAATGCGGTTTGCCCTCTGGATGACTGATGTGCCCGGGGCTGGGCGGGAGGGGGCTCAGAGGTGTTGTTTTCCCAGGGGGTGGTCGGGAAGCAGCGGAACGGAGGGAGACCTTCGGTGCAGTGTGTGCCCGGTTCCCCAGTGCCCGCTGAGCTGTCGGTGTGTCCCACTGCGGGGTCTGCTGTGCACAAAATGGAGCTGCTCACACTCACACAGAGCGGCAGCTGCTTGCACCGCTGCCGTGTCAGGAGCCTGTGCATTTACCGGCAGTGATGTGAGCGCTGAAAGCGGCGGAGCTCCGAACAATGGTCCGGCGCTGCAGCGGCCCTGGGGCTCGGCGAGGGGCAGCGCCTGTCACCGGCACTCCGGGGGACATCGGCTCCGTGACCCTGGAAAGGCGCCCCTGTCACTGCTTTAGCCATACCTAGGAAAAAAATAAATAGCCTCACATCATTTCTTCCTAGTTGCATAGCTTTAGAAAAATGGCATTTTTTGTTCTGACTTGCATAGTTTTACAGTATTCCTGCCCATCCTGGCACAGTTGGGAGCGCTGAGCTGTGTGTGGGCGTCCTTTCATGTTTTACCCAACAGATCAACCGCTGCAAATGCACGTTAGGCACGTCACCGAAATACTATTTCTGAAAAAGAAATCGTGTGCCAAGTTCTGGTTACTCAGTTGGTGAAAGGAGAAACGAAAACGAGGGAGAAATCATATATGAGAGTGGTGGTTTTGTTTGGTTGGTGGATTTTTTTTTTTTTTTGATAAATGTAGTAATGTCAAACTATCAACAATAAGTAAGGAAACACTGTAAGATTTTTTTCACTGATGTGAAAAGTGTCACTTTGTTCTGCACTTATATGCATATCGTGTGTTTTGTTTTTGTCAATGTAGATTTTCTGTTAGCACCTCCTCTATGGCTTCCATGGATTTTATGTGCTTATATGTCCTGCTCTGGCACACATTGCTCATAGTGGAAAACACCTTGTTTTCCACTGCCAAATATTTGAGAGGGATCAAGGAGCTAAGGCCTACTGTGCAAGTCAACCCTTTACAGATTTTGAGGAAACTCATATAATTCTTATGTGACTGTGTCCTGTGGTGCTGTTTCTTAAATTCTTCCATGAGCAAGGGCTTAGCATTTGTTTCTGATTTTTTCAGCAGAAGTGGCATGCATGGAAATATTTAGACACCCACAATTATTGGAGCGAAATATTGAGTAACACTTCTTACACTTCAATACATTTTTCTGTTGTAATTTAGATAATATATCATATTTCAGTATTTTCACAATCAAAGCACAGCTCCTTTAGCTAGGGAGCCTGAAGTACTTGCAGTCAATCTGCAGAAAATAATAATCACTTCTTAATTTAGCATCAAGTAAAATGTCTTGTGTGAGAAAAATTCCCTTTTTATTAGGAAAATGCTAAACAGTGTGAAATAGTGTTTAGGGCTCTTTTGCCTTAATTATGTTGCAGGATGTTATCAGTGTGGGTCTTCAAAGGATAACTGAGAGTGATCAGTTTCAGTGATAAACCCCTTCCCCCAGGCCCCCACCCTCAAATGCTGCACACCCCAAACCTGTAACACCAGAGCAGTATTGTTCTGTTAAACACACTTGAGTTCCTTGAGAAATACTGACTCTGTTCCAATCCCCTTGGGTGGCTTTGCCAAAGTTGGGTTTTTTTAGGCCAAGCCTGGAAAGGTAATTATTGGAGAGACCCAAGTGCTCAGAAATGGATTTAGCTGGAATTCTGTGTCACGTTAAGAACACACACAAGTTGTCTGTGAGATGGTGGGGCTTTAGGATTGTTACACTGAGGTATGAGCAAGGAGACAACTGTGCACACAAGCCTGCTAAATTCTGACCATTAAAGTTCAATAAACCTCTGTTGGACTCGTTTTTGTTATGTCAGTGTCTCCATAAACGGAGTTTAAAATCTCTAGTTCTGCAAAACCCGTATCAAAAAGTCTATCTGCAAGCTTTTTGTAGGGCGAAGTGCAGGACTTCAGATGTGCTACAGAAAGAAAAATTATTTGATTATTCTGAGTAGCATTAAGTTCCCCTTTACAAATTCACGTACTAATTTGGCTGGGTTTTTGAGTCAGTAGAACTTTGGAACTCGGTTCTTCCCCATGTCTGGTTAAATGGACAGGGGCAGTTGTGGTTCTGTGCTCCTGTTTGTTTCAGTGGCTATTGGCGGACTTGTAGTGACCTGTCTTTGAGAATTACATTTGAGAAATCACCTCCTGCCTTTTCCCCCCCACTATCATGCTTCAGCATGATTCCACTTTAATGTGTGTTATTTAATCTCTTCCAGATCTCTGCCTAAACTTGCTTTGATTTGTGTTTTCAGTCTTAAACCTAATCAAAGCAACATGGTGTATTGCTTACTATTCTAAAAGATCTCACAAGATCTTGGCACTAAGGTAATGAGCTTTGTAATTTATCAGTGTTGCTGTTTTTAATTGCCCTGAGTGGATTTTTGTTATTTTTCATATGAAATGTGGCATTTCTTGTTTTACATTGTTATTTTCTGGGGGAGCATATTGCTGCTGCCTGCTTAGCTGCTCAGAGGCACTGTATTCTCTCAAACTCCGGGGCCTGCAGTCAGTTCTTGCCTGCCTGGCCTGGGTTATTTGCATTTTGAATTAACGAGCTCCTTCTGTACCCACCCGGCCTTGTCTGCAGCGCTGGAGCAGAGCGTGCTGCAAATGCATCTGTTTTGCTTCAGGCTCTATTGTGCCTCTAAAGCTGCTCCTCTCTAGAGGAGCTGCTTTCAAATGCTGCTGGGAGTGAATGCATTCACAATGTACTGACGGGTTGAACTCATAATTATTTTTTTTCCCAGTATATAGAGGAAGCAAAACTGGAAATGTCTGACTGATTTGACTACTGATATTTGAGAGCTCTGAAGAGAAACGAATTCTATTTTAATTCAGCCTTCCTTTAATGCTCTCTGCTTTCCCCCACCCCCTTCCTGTCAGTCTGGGGAAAAGTAGTGCAAAGCAATCACAACAGCTGTACATTTCAAGCTTGATTTTTAACAACTGCATAAAGAAAAGGCTTGGTGAGTGATTTACAGCAGGATCTGGCTCTATTATGTTTAAATACAGTAACAGGACAGGCTGTAGTTTGCAGTACAGACTGAATTTGAAGAGTTATCTCTGAGGACAAAATGTGAGTTACTAAGTGTGTTTTTTCTTCATGAGACAGGAGTTTGGTCATAATGTGAAATTATCTGAAAAAATTGTCTTTTGTTTTCCCAGGTTCCTGTTGCATGTAAATCATGTCCCTGTGGCTACATATTTATCAGCCGAAAACTCTTGCACGCCAAACGTGCTGAGAGATCCCCACCCATCACAGGTAATGCTTCCAGAGAGGGGGAGAAGGGAGCAACAGTTCTTTCTTCTTATTTCCTGGAGGCAAAAGATAGTGGATTTTACTTCTCTGTGTAAATGGATTGTTGTCAGTTCACTTTCCCTTCAATTTGTGCATGGAAGACTTTGCATATGTTAATTTTTCTTGATTTTTGAGGAGAAGAGGGAAGCTGCTGTTTTCAGTTTTCTTTGTACTCATGATGTTGGCATTTATTCTGTTTATGTTCTAGCTGCACACACTGATCACTGTGCAGAATAACCCCTTACAGAATGCTTTGTGTTAATCCTGTTTTGAAGCTAAACATGTAGAGGTCCCAAAAGGATCTGATTTCAGAGCTCATGCTGATTGAAGCTGGGTTTTTTGAAAATAAAAAATTGGTCATAATGTTTAATCTAAAACTGGGTGGATCTTGCTTCTCTCTCCATGATTAATTTAAATATTGCTTTTTTTGTGCCTGACTTGTGTGTCTTTTGTTGATGGACACAGTAAGAAGTCTGTTGAATGTGCATTCTGGCATGAATAGCATTCTCCTTGTGTTCATTTATGTCACTTCCTGCAGTAGTAGGAATTAGTCAGAAAAAGAGCCCAACAGGGAAGATATATATTAAAAAAAACCCAAAAAATCTGACCCAAACCTAACAAATATCTGATCTATAATACCTACTTTTTAAATAGTCTACCAGACCTACAAAATGGAAGTCAGCTATTTGATGTTTTGTAGCAATGTTTTGAAGGATACCACTTGTAGGAATTAGCTGACATTATGCTGACAACTGATCTTTCAAGGTGGAGGAGGTTAAGAAATGTCTCTGGTAGATTGGAAGTGTTGATCAATTTTCTTTCCTCCTCCTGCTTTTTTTGATAAAGTTGTTACCAAATGAAGCTGAAGGCCACGATGTGGTTGTATAATTCAGCTTTGTACAGAGGAAATGCACCAGGGGAGGCAAAATGGAGACATGCTGGAGGCCATCCTGCTGGAAAGCAGCTCTGGAAAGTGCTTTTTACTGTGAGTGTGACCAAGCACTGGCAAAGGCTGTCCAAGAGGTTGTGGAGTCTCCATCCTTGGAGGTAGTCAGAACCCTTCTGGAGATGGTTCTGTGCAGCTGGCTCTTGGTGGCCCTGTGTGAGGAGGGGTTGGACAGGGTCTGAAGAGGTTCCCCTGCTCTACCTCACCCTGGCTGTGCCACTGAAGTGCAGGTTCTGTAGGAGCCTCAGTGACTGGGCCCTGCTGTCCTGCTTGTCCCTGTGTCTGTACAAGATCAATGGCACAACTGCAGCCAAAGGAAATCAGTTCCCCAGAGAGATACAGTAGCAGACTGTGTATGTCTGTATTGTGCTCCTAAGGTAACCACAACTACTTCTACAAAATGTTGTTCCAGTATTTTCAGCAGTGCAGCTACTGTGGAGTGGTGCTGCAGCCTTACAAATGTGCAGCTAATCCATGAGTGTGCAGAGGTGACTGTACTATATTTGGTACCCAAGCTCATTAATTCATGCTGAACTTCCAGACAAAACTCATGGAAATGCTCCTTTCTTTGACTGACTTGGTGCTGAGGAGAACAATACCTGTTCAGCAGTGAGCCTGAGGGGCCCTGTCGCAGGCTGGAGTGGTGGGACACATTCACTGTGTTCTGAGGTGTTCTGTGCCAGCACCACTGACTCAGCATTCAATTTGTGTGAGCAGCAGCAATGATTTCATTGTTAGTGTCTCTGGAAGCCCCAGTGCTGTGGTGTTTGCTGTATGATAAACTTTTCTAGTGGAACAGATACAGAATGTGGTGTCTTAAAGGCTGTGATGTGTGCAGTTTGTGTTCCTGTCTTATTTGGGAAACAGCTTCTTGTGGCCCAGCAAACATCGCAGGCTGCAAAATGCTTTTGAAGCAATTAAAGGGTTGATCCCTGGAATCAAGAAGTGAAGCACCCTCCTGGATCTGGCACCTTGATTTCTGCATGGATATTGTGCAGATGCAATTGTTCTGTAAAGGTACAGGCATCTGAGCACTTGATAAGGTTGATTGGGTGGGGTAAGCATTAAGAGTAAATTAAGAACAAAGGTGAAAACAACCCTGCATCATGGCATTTCTGTTCATTTGCGCAGAAAACAAGAGTGAGGCCAAAAGGAGGCGGACAGAGAGAGTTAAGCGAGAGAAGATCAATTCTGCAGTGAGTAAAGACTTAGAAAACCGCAAGAGATCCAGGTCCAACAGCCATTCAGACCACAGCAGACGAGGAAGAGGAAGGCCTAAGAGTGCCTCAGCAAAAAAGCACGAGGAAGAAAGAGGTATGAGAGCTGCAGAAATCTGTTTGTTGGATTTTCTGTTTGTATCTTTTGTAATCAGCAAACCTTGATACCATTCAATAAGTAAACTAGTTCAGCCAGTACCTGATACCTTAACGTGGGGAAAGGACTGATTTGCATATGTAGAGACCTCTGGTTTTATGTTTCAGTGTCTGATGAAACTAACTACAAAGATCTGAATCTATATTTTTAGCCACTGTATCAAGTTTCAACATGTAGCTTGAAAGCCATTGGACTGAAGTGTTAAGTAGGTTTTTGGTGGGTTTTTTTGGGTGATGTTTTTAAATTTTTTTTTTTAATTGAGGTGGTGCTGCTTTTATCGCAAGGACAGCCATATAATGATATCTGTTGTCAGAGAGGGGATTAGGATGACTGGATTACTTTAAAAGTTTCTTGAAACCTTTTGGAGGGCCAAAGTAAAAGGGGCATGTTAAATCACTACTATAACCTGAATTTTAGTCCTATTTCTGGAGGAAAGAATGACTCCTTGTCTGTTAAGGTTCCTTGGTGACCTGCTGGTATTAATCATTATACAGAGGCTGTTACATAGCTAGAGTAATTCTAGAAACCCTCAAGAATGCAACTGTCACTTAGGGTTCCTCTTGTTTTAGGAGCCCATTGACACTGCATTTTCTAGCTGTTTTTTTGGAGATAGTAATTTTAGACCTGAGTTATGAATCCAAAACATAGCATGACCTTATGAAGGTTGGAAGGGAGATAAAAGGGGAATGACAAAACTTCATACAAATATTCAGCAGATATTGTTCCTAAAACTCCTGAAATCTTGAAGCCTATCATGTGGCATGATTCAGAAATGCAATTATTCTTCCTTTGCACCTTACAAAATAAAGAGTGCTAATCCATGTTGGAAATTCCTTCAATTTCTGACTTTTTAAAATCAAGTTTGATCTCTCTACTGTTTAATGTAAATCTGTTTCTTAATGTTTCTTTAATGTAAAAACCAAGTATAAATTTGGATTTGTTGGGGGGTTTTTAGTGCTTTCAGTGTGGGAAGAGGTGGAATTTCATTTCTGTACATTTTCCAGATGGCAATTGTTTCAGTGTAATAGAAATGCACTTTGTAGTATCTAATCTCTTCACTATTGCGTATGACTTATTGATGTCAGCAAGTCATAATAGCTTCCCTATCTGTTAGTGACCCAAGCTGGACTTGTCTGGTAGCTTTAGGATCCTTTCTGGGCATTTAACTGCCATTCTAGTTCACAAAAAGCCTTGGTTTTAAAATTCCAGCAAGCTGGTTGTGCTGCCTTGTAAAAGTGAATCTTCTTTTCTGTCTCCTGACAAAGAGGAATGCAACATAAGCAATCAAAGGAAAAGATCCATTTTCTTAAGACATGTTTTGTAGTTTCCAAAAAGCAAGGATTTGACAGCAGGAGGGATATTAAGAGAACATGTTTTTCTATCCAAAACTAGGATGAATGTTTCTAACCTCTTGCTGCAAACTCCATTGTAACAGTACTGCAGTGCTTGGAGGTAGAAGAGTAGAGATTGGGTGTAGTGGAATCTTTGAATAAGAGTGTGTGTGGTGTCCCTTTTCTTGGTGTTTCCCTAAAGTTGAACCTCACTGGTTAAGATTGCCTTCATCTTTTTGTGCTGTTTTTACCATGCTTTTTCCTTGGTCTTGTGATGGCTGTTTGTTCCTCAGCCTCCTGTGCAGGGATTGGGCTCATACCCATTTGTCATTGTCTTTGCCCCAGTGCAGCTCATCTTATTGTTCAGGACTAAGTAGGCTTAGAATATTTTTTTACTTCTGGTTATGTCAGATTGTAGTGTGTGTAGACCACTGTTATGATTATCAGGCAGATTAAAAAAAAAAGGTTTCTATATAAGGCTGTTATGGCTGTAAAAATAAATTCAGCAGGGAGCTCATCCTTTTGTAAGTAATTACTAAAACAAGTTAACATTGACCTCTCCCTTTTCAAGTTGCTTACAAAATTGAAACTACTATGTGTGGAGTAATTGGCAGGAATTTTAGAAATATTATTCCTTTACCACATGTGCTGCTTGATAGTGTTGCTTGTGTCTATTAAGCAATGTAATTGTACTACAGTTAAGGTGGTTTTTGTGTGAGTGGTTGCTGGTCCTTGCAGCAGTCTGTGTGTGTTCAAAGTCAGCTCTGCAGTGCAAGGTGGCAGTATCTAATTTCCTTGCCTGTTCTCTGTTTCAGGGATATTTTGGGTATTTCTTTAGAGGTTGTGCTTTTGCCCCAAACACTTGAAAAGAAGCCACTGCTTGCATGGTTTAGATACTTGGCTCCTAATGCATTTGTAGATGGAAAAACAGGCAGACAGAAAACACCTCAGTGGTATTAACATGGAGGAACAAATTATCTGCACATTTGAAGACCATCCAGCTGTGAAAATTTCCTTCCTAAAGACCCCAGTGACATCTGTAGCTTTGCTTCCTTGCTTGTCATGCAATTCCATACACACTGTGCTTGTTCCCAGTTGTGGCTGTGCCTTTGACTGGTTCTTTTGTGTCCTTCGTGACTGGCTCACATTAGAGCAAAGAGCTGCTGCAATTAAGAAGAATAGAATAAGCAAAAAGGCTTTTTAAAACAAGCTATTTTCCCTGCAGATTTAGCAAGAAGGAATGGAGGGGGAGGAAAGAGGAAGCAGATGTAGATTGAGGGGATATGGCAGTGCTGGGACCCAGAAAATGATCCTATCACATGTTTCAGAGGCATGTGATGACCCTGGAAAATAGGAACTCCTCCCTGCAGCCTTGGCTTGTCAAAATTGTCACTTAATTTCTTTGTCACATGTACTGCAATGTATTTTGAAAATACAAACACTTAATAATTTGACTCTGATTTTGTTGTGGAGGTGTGTTCTTTGTTTTATTGTGTGGCACTGTGACACACAGGTAGACTGGTTCCCAGGTTGCCTTGTTACCTGGGTAAAAACCCTGATGTAGTAAAGCAAACAAAAACCCTTTTGTACTGGAGGAATTGATATTGGTTATTCTGAAAGAGGTTACCAGCAAGTAAGTCTCAGTAAGAGCAGTAGACTTGCTGAAGCAGACTTGTTATTAGCAGGCCAGATCTTCATAAAGGTAGATACAGACATTTCAGTATCCTGATAAAACTTAAGCTGAATACATTTTCTTGATTCAAGTTTTCTTTTTTCTGTAATTTCCAGCTGCATTACTCACACATTTACTTTCCCAGTGTGGATATTTGAAGTAACTTGCTATCTTGAAAAATGAATCCATACAGAATTTGTGAAGGGGGAGGTCCATATGTGATTTATACATAATCACTGTTTGAAGGGCTGCAGTATAAAGGGATTGCAGGAGATCTGGGGATACAAGAGACATGATCCAGAAAAGCTATTTTTGCCTGAATGGCCTCTTAGTTGTATACCAAACCCCCTGGTTTTTAATGTCTTACTGTCTTGTAGAAACACAATACTATTTTTCTTTTGCTCATAATAGAGAAATGAGTCAAAACTACTCTCAGATCAGACTGAAGTAGAAAGTTTTCAGTGTGTGGAAGCTGTGGTATCCTAGGAGTAGTGTATGATAAAATGTCATGCAGGTGTGAGCTCTTCACTTGTTACTGATGAGAACTACAATTGTCCTGAGAGTGCATGAAGCCTGCACCCCTGTGTTAATCCCTCACACTCTTTGATATCAAGATTTCAGTAAGCTGAAGTCTCAGAATAAGGCTGATCTGGGAGGAAGGGAAACAAAGAAATCCACAGTCTGTTAACAGCAGCCAGGGTGTGGTGCAGGGGGAGTATTTTTAATTTTGCTGATATGTTCAAGTTGTGGCTGGATTCGTTTGGATCAGGAAGTATGAATCAAGGGGTGGGGCTTAGATATGAAAATAGAAGAGGTTAATGTGGAATAACCAGTGTGTGTAGTGTCTGTACTCAGAACTGCTCCCAGCATTGTTAATTTTTAAATGGTGAGAGGGAGGAAGTGGAGCAGCCCAGAGTGTACATACAGAAGCTGATTTGTCTTAAACTGCAGGGTAGGGCTGGCAGTGAACCTCACTTTGAAACGCATTTCAAACTCAATGCACTAGAGGATATTGCCTTGCATGGCCAGGAAGTCAGCAAAAAGCTGCTTTCTGCTGTTTCTGTGTCAGTAAATCAGAACACAGTGGCAAAGGATTTTGGAGCTTCTCCCACTCAGTTGTTGAGCACAAGCACTTGATTTCACACAGACAACACTCTGCTGGAGTTCTCTCTGTAGCTGCACACAAATGTGAAGCCAAATAAAACCATTGTTATGAGGGTGAACCCACTGAAGGGTAACCCTGTGGGTAGGTGGAGATGGGAGCTGCTGGGATCTTTGTTCCTGATCCTGCTTTTTGTTATTTTCCAGTGCTGCCCTTTCTTTGGCTTTCCCATGCTAGTTTAGGTGTCTTGCTGGAGCAGTTGCCACAGTGTGGGTGTGTGTGAGTGTGTTAGTGAGACTGAGGGGTCTCTCAGGTGGGCTTTATGTTGTGACTGGAAATGAGTCCAAGCCACGTGGAACCTGGATTAGAGATGGAGCTCCACAGCTGAAAGCTCTCAATGTATTTCTCTCTTCTTTCTGTCTACAAGCCTGCTCTTCTGCTGACAAAACTGTTTCTTTGTTTGCTTTATTTTCTTAACAATTTGTGTCAGCTACCTGTGGTTTGCTAAACTGGGATAGAACCAGTCAGGATCTGGAGGAGGTGGTATTTATGCAAATGGTATTACTCAAATTATAATTTTTTATGAATTTTTGTAGTGTAACTTACTTGATTTGAGCACTGCAGTACGGAAACTTTTTGATGGCTTCCTGTTTGTCTGTGGCATTGAAGCAAGCCAACATCAGCACAGGGAGCTCATGGGTTTGACTTGCTCAAGGAGGTGTGTTAGCATTGTTCTACAGCTGGGATAGGATGGAAAGTCTGCAGTGTAGAAAGTCCAGAAATGTGCATGACGGTCAATTTGGAGCCTGACTTCATCCAAGTGTCTGCTCTTTGGCCTTTGACCCTGTCACTAAACTCCTGGGTTTCTTTCATGTATCTGTAAAGTAAGGGGGCAAATCTTGTGTTTAATTAGCATATTGTGAAATAACTATGCTTTATTGGATGGGAGGTGGGCATGTAAAGAAAAAAACCCAAACCACTAAAACCAAAAAAACCTGAAGGAACCCTTGAATACTCGTTTATCTTTATGTTAACAGTTCATTCTTCCTTCACTGTTAAAGAGGAGAAGTTCAGTCATGCTTTTGGCTGACTCATTCTGTGGCTCTTCCAGCACCTTTGTGTGCCTCTATTACTTCCTCCTCTTTCTTACCCCCTCCATGCATAGGAGTTGACTGAGTAACTTCAATTCCACTACTTCACATAATTTCCTAATTTCTGTGTAACTTGCATTAACTTCAAATAATGGAAAAAGCTTCTAATAGTGACTTTTTTTTCTTCTACAGAGAAACAAGAAAAAGAAGTTGACATGTATGCTAACCTTTCAGATGAAAAGGCCTTCGTATTTTCAGTGGCCTTGGCGGAAATAAACAGAAAAATTATCAATCAAAGACTTATTCTGTAACTTGTGAGCACAATCTGATGCAGTTTTATGCAGGATGGCTAGCAGATTTCCAAGGTGCCATGGACTCTCGGAAAGTGTGTTGTCTGCACCAACAAGGACCATAGCATTTCCTGTTAAAAATTCTACTCCTGTTCTTGGAAATCCAATTCTGTCTCTACAAATCAGAAAGAAAGTGGTCACGAGATTGTGCTGTGAAAAATCAGAAAGCAGATATGTTTCATGCCTTGAAGACAAATGCACAGAGAGACTGCACCCATTCCAGAGCACTTCTTTTGAATTTGCTGCCAGAAATGCAATATTTTAAATATTTTCAGAAATAAATGATTTTCCTTTAAAATTATATATTTCAGATTTTGAAGCTATATTGCAGTTTACGTATGTACAGTTCACATAACTTTTTAATAAATTGATATTCCAATATTTTATTGAACTGAGAATTAAGTACATTTGTGATACTCAGGGTTGTTGGTTGTAATCCTCTTAAAAGTCTGGTATTCATCCTAGGTATGACATTTTGTAATAGGTGTGATATGTTTCTGGTAGGAAGAAAATTAAAATGGTTTAATTTGGGAGGATTATTTTGTTAGACAACTTCCTATTTTTTATGAATTATCTCTAGAAGATAATTTCTTGCTCCATAGAGTTGTTTTTTAAAAATCATATACTTTGGGGGTCAGACTCCTCAAGTTTGAGCCGAGCACTTGTTTTGTAACAATTATTTGCTGAGTACCTGCCTTGTCCAGCTGGTAAGTTCTTGTCCTGTACTCTTTCTTGGCCCATTATTTACTGGAGAGGGAGAGAAGGAGACATCAAAGGTGTAGATCTGCAGTTGGCATTCTGTGACTTGCAGTTCCAAAACATCATGTGGTAGTTCCTTTTACTCCCCATAGCTTTTTTTGACTGTCTTTTAAAAGCATAATTGCTATTGGTATTGTGTTTGGATTGCTGACTGTAAATACCAAAACAAAGTGTACCTGAGTTTGCAAAAATGAGCTGTTTTGATATAAATAGTTCTGGGGAAGACATTTAACAAAGTAGTCTTTCTTAAAGTAGTATAGTGCAATTTCAGCCAAAATTCTTCCTTTAATAATTATGTGGGGACTTTATTTTACCAAGGAAAAACCCCAAAGCCTCAAGCTGTGTAAAATCCTGAGGGAGGAGGTGTAGGAGAGAATTACATTCATAAAATCTGACACGCTGGGATTTAGTCACCTTTAATTTCCTCTATTCTAGGAGGGGAAATGCAACTAAATGTCTTTTTCATCAATATTACTGGTGGTTTTCAGCATCACATTGAGTAATGAGAATTGCCTGATGAGGTTCAGCTACAGAACTGATCTCTGGGTGGAAGCCAAAATGTTTATTAATAAAGCTGGACTATCAGATACTGGCTGTTTGTTAGTTACTGATTAACAGAGGGAGCTGTGATAGCTTCAAGTTAACCACAAGACACTGATCAAATGCAACCAGTGTAAGTGAAAGCAGGAAGCATGGAAAGTGCTTTTCACTTCTTAACTCCTAAGGAATTATTTGCATCCTTGTTAACACTGGATGAGAGAGATGGTGTGGAAATGTGCTTAAGCCACTAAAACACATTTGTCTTTATTGCAGTAAATGAGAAATTGCCAATACAAGACCTACTTCTGTGCATCATTGAACTTGTGCTTCCCAGAGCTGTAGCCTGTCACAGATACCAGTAGTGAGGACAGATGAGTCAGTTAAGGATAGAGAATTCATTTGCATGGTAAGTTACAAGTCCCAGTGACAAAAGGGAAGTTCTGACTTGAGGGTATGGTCAGGCTGGAATGAGGTGTGCTGTGTTAGGGAGGGACAGGGGGAGCTGCCAAGGCAGTCTCTTTGGTGCTCTGACTGCTTTCCTCCAGGTTCCTGTCTCTTTCTTCTCCTGTACATGGAATTGGTTACTGTCACAGGACCAAAGTTTATGTTGTTGGATGTGACAAAACTGTAAGTTAATTTCTACATTTAGAGTGGTGCCTTTTCTAATCAGTACTTTTGAAAAACAGGTTTGTACCTCTCAAATGTGCAAGGCCATTTATTCTCCTTCATTGGTGGAGGTTCTCCTAAAACAGTGGTTGAGTTCTATTTCTGCATTTCTTCTCTTTGCATTCCCCAGGTCTCTTCTGTCATCCCTTTCCCACATATCCTCATGCTACTTTTCTTCCCCTGATGGCTTCCAGTTTCTCTGAGAAAGCTGTGATGGAAGCAGGTGGCCTTGAAAACACTCTAGGCAGGGAGTGGGTCTTTGCCAGGGGATCTGGCAAAGCAAGAAACCTGACTTTGTCTTCCCACCAACCAGGAACAAACCATTCTTTCCTGTATAGACAGGACATTGCAGCCTCTTCCAAAAGCCCTGCTAACTGTGGTGTGCCAAGACAGATTTCTTGGAACATATTCAGTAACTGAACTGCAAAGTGTCTGCTTTGTTCAAAGGAGGCATCAGCATGATGGATCTCAAGAGCTCTTTCTTTTGTGTGTTAGAGATGATCCGTGGATGAAACACTGACAAATCACTGGAGATTATAATTGTAAATTGCATTTGTTCTCCATCTATGAAAGTAAAATAAAGCCAGTGACAGCTGAATGATGAAAGAGTAAAATTCTGTGTACTGCAGCTCTGACTTGCTTGGAAACGGCATAGTTTCTGAGAAGCAAGAAAAAATATGGTAAGGCTTCAGGAAGTTGCTTATGTGAAGGTTTTCTTGTGACTAGTTTCAGTGTAAGATTTTAGGCTCTGCCTTTGTCATTGTGGTTCAGGCTGACTTCATTTATTTCACTGCATTTTTTGTGGCCTGCAACCTCACATGGAAAAATACTCTTTCAGAAAAAGTGAGTTAGGCTGCAGTTTTTTAATGAAAGAAAGAAGATAAAGTGCAGTACCACTGCACCTCTGTACAAGTTGACTTGTCTGACTGGATAAACTGTTTGTTGTGAACCAAATAGTTTAGGATTGTATTGGGAACTGTCTGTTTGTAAACCACCTTTTAACAAGTTCTGCTTTCTGCCGCTTATCCATTTTTTCCCCTGAAGATCTGTCCTTCCAGTGTTTATAGCTTTGTGTAATAGCATGTCTGACCATCAAGTGGGCTCACAGTTCAAATTTTGCCTTGAGATCTCTCTGCATTTGCCCTGCTCTGCTCCTAGATGGCAGCCTTATTCCAAACAGCTCCCTGGTGTTCAGCATTCTCACCATGGAGACCAGCAAACGGGAGTGTTCAGTTTGCAGTGAGGGCAACCTGAAAGATCGTTTTTCTTTAGAACATCACTCCTACCTAGCAAGGGAAATGAAGATCCTGCTAATGGGAGTTACTGGCTGTCTGCACTGAAACATTGCTTCATCAGTTCTGGAGCTGTGAGGATTGGTGGAGTTGGATAATTTGTCAGGACCAGAGAATTCTGAACTTTAAATTGGCAATCAAATAGAAAATGGTTTAAGGAAACTTGTCACCTCCCCTGGAAGTCCCCTGAAAGCTTTCTTTGGTGAAATTTTACAAACTTCTTTTAATGGTCCAGTTACTTTTGTTCTGATACTGCTATGGTTGAGTAAAAAAAGTTGAAATTGGGACAAAGTATTGGGGAATACTTTGCAAATTATCATTGTCCTGTAGCTGGGCAGGATTTATTGAGAAAGAGACTAAAAATGAGATACTGGCTTTGAATATCAGTTCCCAAAGAAGGTTGGTTTTATATAGTGCTTTTTGATTTTTTTTTCCTTTTGTAGTTTTTCTAGGTTTTGGGATGTGTTAGAGTGAAACAGTGATCATGTAGGCTATTAGCAGCTCTGTGTCTGTTCCTTGTATCTTGGACTGTACTATGAAGGATGTTTAGCATCTCACTGCCTAACAGGACATGGTGCTTGGCTTCTGATAACCTTTAAGGTATTGACAACCTGTGATTTAAGCAGAAAGCTGTGTTAAGGCACAGTTTAGGTTGGGCCTGTTTGAGAGGGATCCCTGTGTGTGCATGCACAGGTGCAGATGTGCTGTAACCTCTGGTGTCTGTGCCAGGGCTTTTGTTTGCTTGGGGAGTGTTCCAAGCAAACCTCCTGGTACTCTGCACCTCCAGGGCTTAGATTTGCATCATGGGCCACTCTTGGGAAGCAGGATGGACAGGGCTCTTACAGGGGAACTGGCCTGGAAGGTTGGTCAGCTGTCACTGGGTGTTTGGTCTGCAGGACCTGGACTCCTTGTGGCTGCTGCTGAGCTCTCAGTTCCAACTGTTCCACCCCACAGCTCTCCTGTGCCTGGCTTTGAGGTTGTTATGGCAATACAGAGAGCCAGTGTTAACAGCCAGTGCCATCAGGTGAGTCTGAAAGCAATTTGTCCTTCAAAGTATTGACTGTGCTGTCAGTGTTTTTGTGGTAGGTTTCTCATTAATTTCACTGTGGGTTCTGGAAAATAACCTCTGGCAAATCTAACTGCAGCATTCCAAGGCATTGCTTTCCCCAGTTATTTGCCTATGCTTTAAGGAGGTTGCCACTTTGGTTGCAGTGGTAGTGGGACAGCTCTAAAAACAATAGAATAATTTTATTTCCTCTTTTTTCAGGTTACCACTTTCAAAACAGGTTACAGAATTTTAAGTCTAGTTGTCCCAATGTTATAAATGATTAAGCAGGTGTTTTGGTTGAGATGAAAATCAGTTTTTCTGCATTATTGCAGATCATGATTTCCACAGATATTGTGAGGTCATAATGAAATGAAAATATCTGTGAATCAATATAATAAAGTATTTGGGTTTTTTTCCCTGCACTTATTTCATAAGGCACTTATTTCTGGCACTGCCAGCTGTTAGTTGGGATGTGCCATCCAAGTAAGAGGCTAGGAATTGATTAGGCAGGAGGCACTGAGACTGGATAAATACCTGTATTTCTTTTTTTCTGCAGAAGAAAACCTAAACCTGCTTTCACCAATGTTGTTTAAAATTTCAAGCCCAGAATATCGTTCTCATGAATCATGTGGTGTCATCATGCAGCATTTCCCCAGGAAAAGGACAGGTACCTCTTCTTCATCTTCCCTTCAGTCCCCCTCATAAGTTGCTTTTTTTGGTGGTTCTTAACTTTGTACATCAAACCTGAGCTCTGCCTTTGGTTTTCTACTAAGTGTTATTTCTCTCAATTATAACTTACTAATTTTGTTAATTACAGTTAAGAATTAAATACTATTTTTAATCCTGGACAGCATTGAGGACCATAAAATGCTGTTAAGAACAGTGAGTGTTCCAGATACCAGGAGCACAAATATTAATAGTCTGGAAGCTTACCAAGTTTCTGTGGTTTGTTTTGTCTTGGAACAAACAACTTATGAATATTTAATGGAAAATACAATGCTAATAAAGAGAAATCTTCAGACTGGGTCAGAGTTGCTTTATTTGGAGAAGTTGTGGAGCAAAAGGGGTGTGGCCATGTGA